TTTTCCCAGTCGCGCTTCTGTTTTTGCGCTCTGTTTTTGCACAGACCGTTTTATCGGTACCTGACGACTTTCAGTTGTCGACAAAACTGTGAACAGTGAATGGTTGAAAAAAAGTGCGAAAAAAGAATGACATTACAGATTTACACATCACTAAAATAACTAACAGAAATTAAAATAAAAAGGAAATTTAAAGCTTAGTTTTTTGCTTTTAATTTTTATTTGTTATTATTATATGAATAAATATTTGTTTTTTTTCTCCATTCTTCAAAAATTTTTGTGTTTTTTGCAAAAAAAGTGAAATAATACACGAGAAAAACAACAACTTTTTTTATTTATTTTTTTTTTTAAATTTTTTTTTCTTTTTTTAAATATCAATATTTAATTGACTGTAAACAACAATTCTAAAAATTTTTATGTCACTGACACTATTTTTCCTTCTCGGCACGTTGTTTTCATTTTCTTTTTGCAAATTTTACGATTTAATATCTATTTTATTTTTTAAATTTTTTTTTTCTGGCTTTGTAACTTTTTTTTCACTACACGTAGATTTTAAGTGGAGCAAAAAAAAAAGTCACCAAATTAAATTTGAAAACATGTAATCTGTAGTTTTTTTCCTCTTTTCTACAAAAACTTCCAGTATTTTTCAGGTAAAGTACAAAAGTTTTAAAACAGATTTATTGTAGTCAATTTGCTGTGAATAGTCTTATTACTGTAAATATTTAAGGAGTACACAGATCGTAATGGTTTTGATCCAGACTCATTCCCGGTGGATATTCCAAGAGATGATCCCAAATATACGATGACTCAGTTTGCCACGCTGTATTTTCGAGAACCAAAACATGCAGCTAAAGGTATGTCATTAAATCTTTTTCTATAGCAAAAATGTGTTTCATTAAAGTACGTCTAAGTATCAGTACATCAATGTCAAACTTAAAATCAAGCTACTTAAAGCGCTTTCTACTAGTTTGATCAATGTCACAGCACTTTTTTGTAGAGGTGTTACCAACTGCTGTCGTATCAATTTGTCTACAAAATTTTCTACTGTTATAGTGGTGAAAAGTGTCGTAAATATTATGCTTTTGTTAACATTTAAAAGAGGAAAAGTTTTTTTTTTGTTGCAGATAAAGATTGGACATGGAAAGACTGGACAGAAAAGGTGAAATATACGAATCGACCAATATCGCATTCGCTGTTAAAATTAGAAGGAAACGAAATGGATAAACTTGCAGTCGATTCATTCCTGTGTAATTTTTTTCTATTTTTTGCACAACTCAACAATCTTTTCTGGTTTTTTTTTCTTTTTTTGCGATTACTGAACATTTGTATTAACAGGACATAAACCTTATACATTAGGTTAATTTCAAATTTATTTATTGACTCAGAGCATCACTTTATTTTCGACTAATTCTTTAATCGAATATCATAAGTGAATTTTTTTTTATACTTTTTTTGATGACGATGAAGATGATGATGATAATGCTAATAACGGCAAATAAATTTTTGTGAGAAGATCTGATTAGAAGAGAAATTAACTGACAAAAGTAGACAAATTTGCCGCCATTGTAGGTATTATGCGATACATGGGTGATGAGAATCTGAAACGTGGTCAAACACTGACAGACTGTGTTTATGAACTGTTGGCTATATGTCATCAGAATATGCGATTACGCGATGAAATTTACTGCCAAATTGTTAAACAAGTTACCAACAACAGAAGTCCAAAGTAAACAGAAAACTTTACGTTAATTTTAATTTTTAGTATCTCATCTGGAACTCCCAATAATATCGACTTAGTAAAATATATCTGACACAACTAATTACTACTACAGAACAAACAGTGCATCTCGAGGATGGCGATTGTTCTCAATACTCTGTGCTTACTTTGATTGCTCTATCGTGTTTAGACCATATCTATTAAAATATCTTGCCGATGTAGCTGATGATCCGAAAAGAGCATTTCACGGTAAACTAATGTTTTTTTCTTCAAAATGAGGCTGTTTCACCAGGTCCAACTAGTTTGACGTTTAGGCAAAAATCTTTTTGTTAAATGTTCCAGAAAAAATTATTTTTCACTATTAAAATTGAGCTTAATTTGTATACAACAGTGAGATAATCAAAATTTCCTTCTACTGTTTTTACAGCGTTGTAATAAGTTTGATAGTATCCACGATTGAATTACATGGAAATAAGTTGTTGTGCTTTATAGGTACTGCTGCGACATGCCTGCAAAATCTGAAAAAAACATTTAGTTATGGTGGACGAAAGTTTTTGCTGAGTGGAGCCGAAATAGAAGCGATCACTGTACGTTAACAACTTTATCGGTTTAACTGTCTACATCTGCTTACAGTGAAAAAAATAATTTCTACTGGTTGTTAAGTGAACGTTACTATTGCAGAACATTAAATTTAATTTAATTTTATGTTTTTTTGCTTATAACTAAAAAGTGATTATATTTTTTTTAGATTGGCAAAACGCTGCGACACATTGCATACCGACAGCCGGGTCCTAATAAGCAAACGATTAGTACTAACACCGTTACGGTTGCTGAAGAGATCATACAGGTGATGTGCCAGGAGCTGAATGTACTTAGTCCCGCAGAGCAGCAAGAGTTTTGCCTATGTGCTATTATAAGTAATGGTAAGTCGATTAGCCATTTACTACTGCTCAGAACTGGGTATTTACATTTTCACAGTCAAAAACTAATAACAAGAGCTCTAAAGTTGTATACTTTCTTAAAAGATATATTGTTTTTATAGAAAATACAAGTAAAATGATCTCAAATGATGAATATATATTGGATATTTGTACCGAAATGGAGATGGGTAATAAAGACTTTTACTTCATACTGAAAAGAATTGTCTGGATACATCCATTACGATTAGACAACAGTTTATACATGGATTTCATGTTTTTTCAGGTAATCAGCTGGTAAATTACCTGTCTTAAAAAATAACATTTAGTCAAATAAAAAAATTTTTCATTTATGCCTTTTACTGCTGTTGGTAAAACCCCTTATTTGCAGCTTGTTCCAGAATACATTGAATATTATCTGACAAATTTGAAGCCAAATCAAATTACTGCATCGATTTTGGTAAATTGTTTTTCAGAAATTGTTTGATTACAGCTTTTGTTTTTTTTTCAAAACCTTTCTTTGAAACAAATTTTATGAAAAATTTTTATTTTGGCAATAAAACTTTGCAGGAAGATGTTGCATACCTCGGCGCCTACCTTCACCTTTCTGACGTTGATTCAGTTTCATATGTTGAACTGTTAGTTGAATTTTATGATCGTTTACTTTGGTGTGTTTTATGGTTTTGTATAGCCACAGTTTGTGATGTACTATCAAACTAAACTTTTGGTTTTTAAGCAAAATAGCGCTCAGTTTACTGTATTAGAAAAATTTTCGGAACTTTTCCATTTTATAAATTACACTTTCAGAGAACAGGTTCCTGATTTAATTCCAAAAGGAATCATTAGGAAGCGAACCGCGGATCAGTGGGCTGATCGAATAAACAAGAAATTAACCACGATTGACCGCGGAATGTCTGCAGCCTTAGCTAGATCTAAATTCTTAGGTTAGTTACATTGAGACTGACAGAAACGGCATGGACTTGTTCTTTAACTTTCATCAGAAAAATGGAAAACTTGATTCAATTCAATCTGTAACATGAGATGATCTGAACCACCCGTTAAAAAAATCTCTTGAATTCATCATCGTAGGATAAGTCCTATAATGAATTTTTACATGTCACACTTTTGCAGCTATTGTTAGCCAAATACTGCTGACTGTTCACATTTTAACAGTTCTTCTTGCGTAATTATAAAACTATGTTCATAGTCTAGGTTGAAGAATATCATTTTTAGAGCTGCTTGAGAAATGGCCTTTGTTTGGGGCTCAGTTTTTCAAGATACATGACGCTATAGATGGTGAAAAGCATACTAGAAACTGTATACTTGTTATAAACAAGCACGGTCTTAAGTTCACGAATGTCGCAGACCGACAGATTCGTGATATACCATTAAACCAGGTAAAGAATATATTCGTTTTTCTTTTATGCCAGAAAAAAAAGAAAGAATTTGACTGAAATTTCATGCTACTGCTGAGACCAAGTTTAATGTAAATGAAACTATACTGATTAGTCGTAGATTTCACTGTTTCGCAGGTTCCTCGTGAAAACTAAACTTTGAATGATAGCAGAATATAAGCAGTTTTCTAGGCTTGTCAAAAGTTTATCTTTAGAGCACTGATAAAAAGAGAATATTCAGTAAAATGGCAAATCAAAATTTAATTTTTGAATTATCACGCCACCTTATTGCCACTATTGCTGTTGTGTATTAAAAAATATAAATCCTTGTTGAAACTTCATTTGTACACTTTAGGTCGTAACCACAAACAAATATTCTAATCCTCATGGTTCGTTCTTAGACATTAAAGTCGGTAAAATTTCACAGAAACGAACAATAACACTTGAGACGGACAAGGTATATATCTGTTTTTCTATCGCGTCGTCTTTCTCGTTCTTGAAATAATACTGCCCTCATATTTAAAATGCAGATGACAGCTTTATATGATTTACTCTTCCTCCACTATAATGGACAGCGAGAAAAGCAAGAAAAAATTACTGAAAAGATTTACAAGAAAAATTTGACTTATCTTTCAAGTGATTATGTTTACTTTATAGACGAACGAAATCTCAAGGCTGATTGGACAATATCTTTATGTTGACAGCAAGAATAGAGGTTACATTGGTGGTGAAGATTCTGAAGTGCTTTAAGTCTGCATAAATTTAAGGAAAAACAAGGAAAGAGGAAAGAGATCATTTTGAAATTTATTTATTATTTTTCATGTTCGTGCTATCATGTTTGCTCAATTTTCATTGTTTAATTTTTTTTCTTTGTTTAGTCAAACTTATCAGAATAATTTAATTGTTTTGTTTTTTCATTTCCTTTTACCTTTACACTGATGCATATCAAATGATTCAATGCCATTGATTTAATATGAACTTTAATGGTTTATTGTTTATTACTTCACAGCTGTGTCGTTTCTTAAATGCGGAATATATTTTTCCTTTCTAAAATTGTTGCTACCGGTCTCACAAAACACGCGATGATAGTTACAGAACGTGGAGACTTTGTTCAGAAAACTTCTATATTTTTGCCTAAGGCCTCGACTATTCAATGAAATTCCTTATTCGCTGACAGGCAGTCAATGAAAAAGCACAAATAGAGCATGTGGATTCAATGAATGAGTAAATGAATGGACGTGTTAAAAAAGTTCTGCTGATTCACCAAAGTTTCATTTCAAAAATGAAGCCTGAAATTTACTAGATAATGAACATTAGATACTGCAATGGCGTTTCCGCTTAAAAACAATCAAATGGACGTCAGTTGTCAGTAAAAATATAATTTTCCTTTTATTCACTTCCATTTTCTTTTTTCCTCACCTGGCTTACTAACTTTTAATGAATACAAAGAAACAATAGAAATTGTTAAGTTGTCCGGATTTTCTCTATAGCAGTCATTAAAGAGTTATGTCAATTGCACGCCGAGAAAGAACCCCACATAAAATGAATTGGTCAGGCTGGATAATTATGTAGTTATTTTGTGTGGCTCTTCTATTTGACAACGTTCCTCTTCAATTCCTTTAGGTGCCTAAAGTACTCAAAATTATATTGTCATCTTTGCTCTTCCTAGTTTGGTAAGCTTACTCTGATCAACAACAAGTTATAAACTTAGTTTCTTTTTGTGCTTGTCTTTCTAACTAAAGACATTAAATGCTACTAGCTAAAAAAAAGTTTTGCGCAACGGAAAAAAAATGCCTTTAATATAAGAATACTCTGTAAAAGCGTTGTCAGTCTGGTTCTGTATGGTGGGGCTAATAAATGAATGCCTTATGGCGAAAGAAAAGCTTGTTTGTCCTGCTGTTCCAGATTAATTGCCTCCTTCCAGTGTTTCATAAAATTTGATGACAATGAACCCACTGGCTACTGACGTAGATCATCGGCATTTTAACCCACTTCAAAGGCGCGTGTAGAACTTTTTATTTCAGCCAAAACTTTTGTTAATAAAGCAGTTCTTATGGTGGCACATTATTCGATTTCTGCCGATAGAACAGATTTAGATTTTAAAAAGTATGAAAGAGGAAAAATCTTCAATTATATGGCGCAAAAAAGTACTTAGGAGATGAATTTAAAGAAAGCAAAAAAAACAGTGTAATGTGCCACTACGGCGCTTATCGAAATGTTGTACTTTTCAGGAAGGAGAAACTACTTGAACCGACTTGGGTATCACACTTTTCCGAACTGTTAAATTTTAGCCTACTAATTGCCACTTTTTCAAGCAGATGGAGCAGTTTATGACTAGAAAGCAATTCAAGCTTGAGATCGTTGATTTGTGACATACTAGATATAGAAATAAGTTATGTAGTTCTAAAGTTTAAAGTAGGGTCCAAAGCCAGATTACAACCAACATTCAGTTATTACCATTCAAAACAGATATTTTGCTGTAAATTGTTTGATGTAACCATTATTTAGAAATTTATTCGCTGTCACTTAACATAGTGATTGAAAGGAGGATCAGGAAGAAGAAATGGAGTCAGCCAGCTGAAGCAAAAGAATTAGTAAGAACATATAGAGTGAAAAAAAAAAAACGTTCAGCAGCAAAAATAGATAGAAGTTTGGAGTAAAGTTCGGCTTCTGCAGACTGCTCATTTCTATTTTCACAGTAGCGGTTTTATCCAGTAAGAAAATAGCTTTGAAAATGTGGTCAATTCAAATCTTAAAAAAACGAGAAGCGAGCTGTGAGCCAGAATACATTTAATATTTTTGCTAGCTGATTTGTTCGTTTATTTTTCTTGTTTCTTTATTTGTACAATTACTATAGATTTAAAAGTAAAAGCAACTAAAGATTGGCTCGTTTCGAATGACATTTTTACGGCTTAATTTTACGATATTTATTAAAGTTTTTTGAATTTTTTATTTAGTCTGTGATCTTGGTGAAAATAATAAGCCTGACTTGGAGCTTTGATGATATCGTTAGTAAGCATGGCAAAAAGCGAAGCTGTCACTCTAGCACAAGGAGTTTGACTTCGTATCAATAATAACATGGACCAACAACCTCTTAGCAATGAGAGTTAGATGGAGAGATAAAAAGAATTTCATTTCAGCAATTTTTCTGGCTGTTACAAACCGCAAGGAAACCCAAAACTTTAAAACTACTCCCCACTATATCGGTACACTTCTTCAAATGCTTCAAATTAGCAGATTTTGCAGATTAAGGGCATCGCTGCTGCATTTTTCATTTCATAGTTAAGCTTAATGCTAGTTTTTTGATGCAGATCACGTAAGATTTTAAAAATGCTTTGAAATCATCTTTTATGTTCCTCGTCATTGAAATACGCCGTACTCTGCTGTAAATGAAAAGATGAGCTTGAAGCATTAAAATTGAATACAAATAATTTAATGAAAGAAAGAGAAGTTACGGAAATTGGTCGCTAACATATCTCAAGCATGGCACTTTTGATCTAAAAGTCCGGTATAATGCAATAACCGATTTGAAATTTACCTTTAAGACTTACAAAGCTTTGAACTATAGTCAGAAATGTATATATATATATATATATA